ACATTCTGATCAGAACGTGTGTGTTTAATGTCATTCAGATGACCAAACTAGAAATGAGAGTACAAGGGAGTTTTCTTAATAACAAGTTTATCAACAGGCATTGGATTTAAATCCTTTCCAGAGGAAGGTTCATATCCAATTCCTTTCCTGTTATTTCTGCTAAACCCATAGATCATAAAAGCCATCTTGCTTCTGTCTATGCTTTTAGCAAGAAATTTCTGAAAGCTAAAGTCATATTCTTCTAAAATGTTTTTGCATTTAGACTTACTTTCAGATTCAGAGTTTTGTTGAGCTATTTCAAAATTGGCTTTCATTTTTAAATTATTTTCTTATAGCTCAGCAATTTCTGATCTTAACAGATTATTCTCAGAGCCAAGATTGCACTTAAGCTTCTTGCATTTGAGCTTAATCTGATTATAATTTTTTAGGACTTCAGATAAGACTTTTATAAGCTCTTCCCTAGTGAGATTAGAAAGTACCTCTTCTGAGTCAGATTCAGAGTCAGACTCAGATTCAGATGATTCTTCATTCTGATCTTCAATGCCTGCCATCAGAGCCATGTTGGCGCATTCATCTTCAGATTCTGATGAGGATCCAAATTCATCAGAGTCATCCCAAGTTGCCATTGAAACCTTCTTCTTTTTGTCAAACTTCCTATTAGGCTTTTCTTTAAGAAGCTTTGGACATTCACTCTTATAATGGCCAGGTTCTTTACATTCAAAGAAGACAACTTCCTTCTTTCCAGATCTTTTTGGTCCAGAGGACTCCTTGCACTGATATGGTCTTTTAAAGTTCTTGAACTTCCTCTGCTTGTGCTTCCAGAGTCTGTTGATTCTTCTGGACAGCAAGGATAATTCATCTTCTTCTTCAGAAGAAGATTCTTCAGAGCTTTCCTCTAACACCTGCAAAACTTTCACAGATTTGTTAGATTTTAAGGCAATAGACTTACCTTTCTTTTGAGGTTCATCTTCCTCAAGTTCAATTTCATGACTCCTTAGTGAGCTGATTAGCTCCTCCAGAGTGATCTTGTTCAGATCCTTGGCAAGCTTCAGAGCAGTGCCATAGGTCTCCATCTGATAGACAAACTTCTGATGATCTTCTTCACATGATCAGCAGTTGAGTAGCCTTTGTCCAGAACTTTTAGACCAGCTGTAAGAATCTGGAATCTAGAGAACATAGTTTCTATGGACTCAGATTCTTCCATCTTGAACGCTTCATACTTCTGTATTAACGCTAGAGCCTTGGTCTCTTTTACTTGAAGGTTTCCTTCATGAGTCATCTTCAAGGACTCAAACATGTCAAATGCAGTTTCTCTATTTGTGATCTTTTCATACTCAGTGTGAGATATTGCATTTAACAGTATTGTTCTACCCTTGTGGTGATTTCTAAACTCCTTCTTTTGGGCTTCTGTCATAGATTTTCTATCTACTTTCTTGCCATTCCCATCAATGGGATGAACATACCCATCTATGACCAAGTCCCATAAGTCAGCATCATAACCAAGGAAGAAACTTTCAATCCTGTCCTTCCAATAATCAAATTTCTCCCCATCAAACATAGGGGGTTTAGTGCTGATTCTGTCCCTTTCTTCATATTTGTTGTTAATGTTAGATGTTGAAGTATCAGCCATAATAACAACCAAATATATATATCAAAGATTTTCTCACTGGATCTTTTCTGTCACTGTGAAGTGGTAGCACACACAGAACCGGAGCTCTGATGCCAACTGAAGGTGAGAAAATACTTAGAAGGGGGGTTGAATAAGTATGAAGATAAAATCTAGAAATAAAAACTCAATGATTTTTATCCTGGTTCGTTGAACTCAACTACTCCAGTTCACCCTATCAAGAGTGATTTGCCTTTCTCAAACAAGGACTTAATCCACTATTTAATCAACTGATTACAATAGTAAGCACTAAGAACAACTGTTCAAAGTCTTCTCAAGAACTACTAATCCTAACTGGATCTTTTTAAGGTTCTCTTACAATCAAATGTAATAATAATACAAGTGTTAAAAATGCTTCTAAAAAAGCTTTATCACAACTGTGATTTTTCACCTAAGATGAAGAACAGTGAAATAAATTCAGCAAGTATGTATAAGTTGTATGAGAGCTTGTAATGAATTCTTTCAAGTATTTCGTCAACTGAAGAAGATGAATGGAGTCTTGCTTTTATAAGCACAGAGGTCCATGAAGTCTTTCACGTTGAGAGATGTGTACCAAAAAGGTCTGAGCCTTTTTGTCTTCACATCACATGACTTTTCCTAGAAGTAGAATGCACAGAGAAATCCTTTTTGTCTGTGTTCTTGTGTCTAGCATAAATAACGAAAGAGTCGTTTGGTTATTCCAACGGACATAACTTTGAATTCTTCTTCAACAAGTTTCAGCAAGAATCATCAGAGTCTGGATTGGTCAGAGTCTTCTGATGTTTATCAGAGTTTGTTGAATCAGAGTCTTTGCAGCAAGTGTGCTATCAGCGTGTAAATGTTCAGAGTAGAGTTTGGGTTCAGATCCTCAGTACTGGTAGCGTTAGTACTATCAGAGTCTTCTGAAGTAGCTGTGCTTGAAACTCTTCATACAGATTTCTTCATTGCTTCAGATTCTTCTGTAGCTTCTGCTTCAGATTCTTCTGTAGCTTCTGCTTCAGATCCTTTTGCAGTCAGCGCTCAGAATCTTCTAGAGGCAGCATTCAGAATCTTCTAAGAGATGCTTCTGACGCTTCAGAGCCTTGCATATTTCTCATGTTCAGATCTAATTTGCTTCTAGAGTAATATTCACTTTAACATCTGTAGCAAACATTCTCAAACAAATTTTAGAGTATATAATTCTTGAATACAAAATTTCATAAGAGTTATCATCAAAACATAGAGATATTATTAAGAACCAATCTGTGTTCTAGCAAAAAGGTCTTTCTTTCTTTAACCTTTCCTTTGGATAAATCAAAGTCCGGTTGTGAATTTAATGAATTAAGATTCAATCTAACCAATAGCTTGACATCACGATTCTCACCGCAATAGTCTCCACCATCTCTGCATCCATCCAACCTTATTTTCATGCGTCATTTGGCTCCACCAACATAGCGCCTTTCAAGGACAACTCATTGGCCTTAAATATCTCTAAGGGTTTAAGTTAGCTAACGCCATCCATTTGGGCTTTATGTTCCATATGATCCTTGTTGTCGGCATCACTAGGGTCTTGACCATATGCCTTTCATGCCTTAACATAATATTTAACATCCTCCTTTTTCAGAATAATAACCTTCATTTCTAGAGTCAGCAGAGTAGGCAAAGTTAAATTTCTTGCAGCTTGAGAGGAAATGAGCATAAAAGTGATTGCGCGATCATCTTCTGCATATTCATCAGATAAGAGAGGGTCGATAAAAAATTGCCAGAAAAAAGTTCCCTTACATCAAGAGCCTCTAGAAAGCTTCTTCGAGTCAGAGTCATCCGATACAAATATGACCTCGTAGGATTATTGATTAATGATTAAGTGGGGATGACTTGGATTATAAGATACTTCTACCCTAACTAAGGGAGATGAATCATCACTCCCAAAATTACTAGACAAACTTATGGGGTTATCATTCATATTGGTTATGGAAAGGAAATTTCAATGATATGAAAAAGTTAAAGGTAAGAAGGGTACCTGAGAGAAGCATAATCTGACAAGAAAGGAGAAGTTCAAGTGAGAGAGTGAAAGCTTTATTCAAACAATCACAATCACTCTGGGAAATACTCCTACAGTAAGAAGAAGGAAAACACTCTTAAGTAGAAACTAATTCTTAAGGAAAGCGAATATTTCTCTCAAAGCTCGAAAATCCTTATAGATAGATGGATGCAATTAACAAAATAGATTAACTAGAGAGAAAAGTTACAAGATCAACAACTGAATTTCTCTTAGGGGATATAAATGAACTAAATTGCACTCAAGCACATTATGAGGAAGCGCCAAATCCAAAACTGATGACTTAAAGCTACACATAGGAAAAAATTGGTGAAACATTTTAGTGATGGGAAAATATTTAATGCGCTTATTTTCCACTAATTTTATAAATTATCCAAACGTTACCACTTCTTTCCAAGGTCGGACACCACTGCTAAGAGGTCGACCACAATTTCAAAGACTTTTCCGTCTGGTTTTCACCCGACAAAGCCTTAGGGGAAATTGTTCTAGGCTAGCCAAAGGCCCAAAGCAAAGGTTCAACTAGATGCAAGCCTAATAAAAATAATTCAACGTATAAAGTCAGAACACGTGAGATTCAAGGTACACATTTCTGATCTTCATTTTTCACTAGACTCATCTTGTACTATGAACTGACTTGGGCATTGGAGTACCAACATTGCATATCTACCTCGCACCACAATATCATAGATTAACACCCCCGATTTAAAAATCTTCTATCGTTGATCAACGCCACTTCTGGTTCTAGTACAAAACAAATACTATATTAGAATTGGTGTTTGATATAACTTATCTCTATAATATCGCCGCCTTGTAAGATGGGAGATCACATATTATATAAAACATTTTGAAGCTCAATATCTAATCAATAGGTGAGCTTGAAATTTTCCAAATAAATATATTATTTAATTTAGATGAATTTTAAGAATTGATAGAATAAATAATATAATTGAGTCAAAATAAATATGTATGGATGGCAAAAACATAAATGAAATGACAAGACGAAATATGCAAATCTTTTTTAATATATATTATAAATAGATTGTAACGAGATAAATTATGCATATAATATGAATGGTGCACCTTGTATCAAATATTTAAAATAAAAAAAAAATCTAACAAGAGAAAATGGTGCACCTTGTATCAAATATTTAAAATAAAATAAAAATCTAACAAGAGAAAACAGAAGTGATGTTATCACCGAAGTTGCCCTTAATTTATAGTTATAATAACGATAACGAGCTTCCTTGTTGATGTACATTCTGTGGTTCCACTAAAGTAACTTTTTTGAAATCTCAATGACCAAGCTTCACTGAAGCTATGGCGATAACGACATCAACGACGTCGTTTCCAACGTTTCTGTGCTCCTTCCATTCACCCATTCCTTTAGCCTCAAAATCATCTCTCTATCGTCCCCAATGGCGTATACTAAAACCGGTTCACTACTCTTTCTGCTTCACCAATTTGGTCTCTTCTGCAAAACCACTCGTTTTCAATTCGAGAAGAACCCACTTGGGCTCCACAGGTCGGCGCGAACCAACAGAGTTAGCCACATCCTCTTCCAACAAAGTGGAAGATGACAATCTCAGGAGAGTTCTTCAAATTGGGTTGTGGGGTGCCGAGGTTGCCTATGTTTTGTGGCTCTTCTTGCTTCCGTATGCTCCTGTAGGTTCTCTTTTTGTGCTGTTGAATGTTATCGTTATATCCTAGCTTGTGTTAGATTGTAGATGTGCTGTCTTGAATTAATTTATCTTTAGTTACATGATATGATTTTCATTTTTGAATTTATAGACTGATTTTTTTTTCCCATACACCAAAAATTCTTTTAATGCTTCGGAATTAAAGCCTGTGGTTTTGTAGTTTGGGGGAGGAACATAGGGATATTGAAGTGATAAGATGTCATGTGTTTAAATCCCGTTTAACATTGTCATTTCAACAGACTATATAGAAGCAACAGGTGAAACAAACTAGATAGTGTAGTATTTTTTTTTTCATTCTGCAATTTCAGCTTCAAGTGCCTCATGGCACTTTGTCGCAATCAATTTTCACTTGTTAGTGCAGTGTTATAACAAACCTTATCCCGTTAGAATTGAGGTTAGAATAATGCCTGATGAATTTGTGATATTGTCCTAAATAGCTGAATCAAGAGCAGCACTAACACAATCAATAATATTACAAGGAGAAATTATAAGGTCTCAGCAAAGGATAGCAAGCTCGTCTAAACAATAATTAGGTCCCTGATTTAATAAAGTATTTAGAGGAATATAATTATTGAGAGATATAGCGGGTGATCTGTTAAGGAGATATTAATAAGTGGCTGTTTGGAAAGCATTCTCCTGAAGTTAGGTGGAAGTTAAACTTGTGATAGTATATAGAGGTTTGACTTCAACTATATGATGATTTTTGTGTTCAACCACACCATTTTGATAGTGATTATAGTGGAAATGGTTGGAGGTATGCAGGGAGACTGTTGATATTGGTTGGAGGGTGAAGGTTTGAAGAGGTTAGGTTACAGAGAGTGATGTCCATTGAAGATAACATCCTCAGATATGCCAACTCTACCATCTGGTGCAAGACACCAATAACCTTTGTGAGAGGCGGAGTATCCTAAAAATATACACTCCTGAGATCTAAACTGAAGCTTGTGTTTGCTGTAATGTCTTAGAAGAGGGAAATAAGAGCAACACAGGTGAACGACCAAATAGTTAGGTGTAAAACTACCAGAAATTGAATTAAAACTAGGAAAAACTAGTGAGTTGATGATTGAATCATGAGAATCATTAGGTTTAGATACATGTAGAGACCATTATTGCCCAATTTTCCTAGAAAAAGAACTTCCTCAGTAGCTTGAGATTTCACAAGATATTTGTCAGAGTGAAATTCAAAGAACACTTTGTTGTCTTTTGCAAACTGGCTCACACTTAATAAGTTTTTGTGATAGTAGGTACATGAAGTAGATTGTGAAAGGTGAGTGTGAGTGTGGGGTTGAGTCATGAGGTGAAAGTAAAAGAGTCTATAGAAGAGACAGACAAGGCACCTGAATCAGAGTATCACCTGGCAGATCAAGCTACATCAGAGTTGTGGTAGAAAGCCTGAGGTCTTGGTGGAGGTGTCACGAGATTGGAGTACACTTGTGAAGAAGTATAGATGTCATTTGAGGCATCATAAGCGATGCCATTGCAGTTTGGAAAATGGAAGAATAAGGAGCATGGCGTTGTGGTCCAAAGATGCTCCAGGCAAAGTAATGCCAAGATGTAGGTGCAAAGTAGGTTTGTGGAATTGGAGTTCTTGATTGAGATCCACTTTAAGATGACCAAGGAGGGGTGAAATTAGGGTAAACATACAAGTCATCCAGAGGAATGGATGGAACATAGTCTTTCTTGAACCTGTGATAACAAATCGAAGCATCATGACCATATTTCTTGCATACTTGACACTGAATGAAGTTTCCACGGCCACCACGACCACCTTGAGAGTGGAAGGAGGATGGATTAGTGTTGTTAGACTAAGGAGCAGTGGATTGAGTCATGTTTACTCGAGAAGAAGTTGAGGCAGGTATAATATTGGACAAAATAGATGAAATGGTGAGATTTGCAGTAGCAGAAAAAATTGTTCGTTTTCGAAAAACGATCGAGGCGTGTTTCATGACTGAGAAGAAGCGTTTCAACTTCCTAAATTGATACAAATCCAAATTTGCCAATGATAATGTTGACCGTGGATTCGAGATCCTGAGGAAGACCTTCATAATTACACCCAAGTGTTCGCGTGCAACAATGGTTCGCCAATGGCGTTTACTGATCCAATTAGGGTTTGAATATAAAGAAGGAATTCTAAAACAAAATTTTTAGCTTTCAAGACGCGTGTGACAGTTCAAATCGAAGTTGGTACAACTTCACATTTTTGTGTTGTTGGAAGTAAGTATGAATTTATCCCATAGCAACTTGGAAAACTTGCATCCATTGACACGCGTGAGCATCATAATTACATCCTGAGGAAGACCTTGATAATTACATCCAAGTTTTCGCGTGCAACAATGGTTCGCCAATGGCTTTTACTGATCCAATTAGGGTTTGAATATAAAGAAGGAATTCTAAAACAAATTTTTTAGCTTTCAAGACGTGTGTGACAGTTCAAATCGAAGTTGGTTAGCAACTTCACATTATTGTGTTGTTGGAAGTAAGCATGAGTTTATCCCACAGCAACTTGGAAAACTTGCATCTAATGACACGTGTGAGCATCTCGTGAGAAATTGTGGATTGTAACCATGTCAGTAGGATCTGGTCTTGTTTTTCTCAGGCTTTAAATGACGATTGCAATTTGCATCATCTAGCGCGAGGAGTTTAACTAGAATTGAAGGATTTAGAAGAAAGTAATGAAGTTTGTGAGATTTTATAACAAACTCCATTTGCTGACACAGTATGTAACACCCATATATAAATACATATGTCTAAAAGATACATATTATTCATGTTTGTTAGTTTGATACTAGAATACACATAAGTTCTTAGAAACACATTGTATATTGTTGAAATACAAGAGACTAAGAGACATGAATAAACCGTATGTCTTGAAAAGCACTACGGAGACATTATTATATATAAATAGATTACACCTAATTACATAATATAGTCGATGTGGGACTATTCTATATACAAATATTCTTAACACTTTATATATATTTACAAATATCAACACTCCCCCTCAAGCTTGAGCATATAAGTCAAATGCACCAAGCTTGTTACATATATAGTTAGTTCTGGGGCTTCATAGGGATTTTGTAAACACATCTGCCAATTGATCATTAGAGTTGACAAAACTTGTGACGATGTCGCCTGATTCGATCTTCTCTCTGATAAAGTGACAGTCTATCTCAATATGTTTGGTCCTCTCATGAAAGACTGGTTTTGAAGCAATGTGCAATGCAGCTTGATTATCACAAATAAGTGTCATTGGTCTTGCTTCTTCAATTTGAAGTTCCTTGAGCAACTGTTTTAACCAAATAAGTTCACATGTTGCCATTGCCATCGCCCTATACTCTGCCTCGGCGCTTGATCTTGCAACTACATTTTGTTTCTTACTTTTCCAGGATATAAGGTTTCCTCCAACAAGTACACAATACCCAGAGGTGGATCGTCTATCAATGGGTGACCCTGCCCAATCAGCATCAGAGTATCCAATTATCTGGGTATGTCTTTTATCCTCATACACAAGACCTTTTCCTGGAGCACATTTGATGTATCTCAAAATCCGGATAACAGCATCCATATGTTCCTGACAAGGGGAATTTAAAAACTGGCTTACCACACTGACTGCAAAAGAAATGTCCGGACGAGTGACTGTGAGATAATTCAACTTTCCAACCAATCTCCTATACCTTCCTGAGTCAGATAGAGGCTCCCCCTGATTGGGTAGTAATTTAACACTTGGATCCATAGGAGTATCGGCTGGTTTAGCATTTAACAAACCTGTTTCTTCCAAAATATCCATAGCATATTTCCGCTGAGAAATCACCAAACCATCTTTAGATTGGGCTACTTCAATACCCAAGAAATAACGGAGTTTACCAAGATCTTTTGTCTGAAATTGTTTCGAGAGATGTTGTTTCAACTGGAGTATTCCCTGCTGATCACTACCAGTTATGACAATGTCATCTACATACACAATAAGATAAATACACCCTTGGGGTGAGTGACGATAAAAAACAGAATGGTCAGCTTCACTACGGATCATACCAAACTGTTGTACTACAGTGTTAAATCTGCCAAACCAAGCTCTCGGAGATTGCTTAAGACCATAAAGAGACCTGTGTAGCCTACAAACCATATTCGATGACTCCCCCTGAGCAACAAACCCAGGTGGTTGCTCCATATATACTTCCTCTTCAAGATTGCCATGTAAGAATGCATTTTTGATGTCAAGTTGATGAAGAGACCAATGTCGAATGGCTGCAATGGCTAGAAGAAGTCTAACAGATGCCATCTTGGCTACAGGTGAAAAGGTATCACCATAATCCAACCCAAAAATTTGAGTGTATCCTTTGACTACTAAGCGAGCTTTAAATCGATCAATCTTGCCATCTGGACCAACCTTCACTGTATAAAGCCAACGACAACCTACTAAAGATTTTCCATGGGGTAGAGGAACCAGTTCCCAGGTACCATTGCTTTGAAGAGCACACATTTCATCAATCATTGCTTGCCTTCACTCAGGGTGAGATAATGCTTCACCTGGAGTTTTAGGAATAGAAACAGAAGACAAAGAAGACAAACAAGTATACTGCAAAGGGGAAAGACGATGATAACATAAATCAATATAATGTGGAGAAGGATTTCGTGTTTGACGTATACCTTTTCGAAGGGCAATCGGAAGATCAGACTCAGGTTGCAGGATCGAATCCGGTGATGGCGAGAGCGTCGGAGGAGAGTCCGTAGTGACCTCAGGGACAGGTACAACTTCAGGGACAGGTACGACTACAGGGACATGTACAACTTCAGGGACAGGTACGACAGACTTTGGGTGACGGCGCTGATATGTTTGAAGTGGGCGAGTGGGGGGGGGGGGGGGTCAACCGTAGGGGTAACTAGTGGGTCAGGTTCCCTAGAATGATGGGGGATAATGACAGATTGGACTTCCGGAAGAGGTGTGGGAATACTTTCCCGTAGAGG